TATCTCCGCTTCCGATCACTAAAGTGCAAATCACATTTTTTGAAATTGTAGGTCATAAAATTGCTTCACAAGATTGTCAACATAAATGGAAAGAATTCATGATGTAAGACAGCTAAGGACATATTCTTAGACAGACAAGCTTCTCTTCACCCAGAAATAGGCAAAATACTTGGAGTTGCTAAGATAAAATCAGGATATGAGTTTACCGGAACGTCTTTGGCAAATTATTTGAGACGTCAAAGTCTCTCAGTCATGGTGATACGTAATAAGTGTTAAGGATGGACAATCTAAGTTGGAATATCGGAAAAGGATCTCCCAATACAAGTGATTTGAGAAATTCTATATTTGTGGTGACTATCTTGATCATGACAGCCACCTATCAAGCCATTCTCTGTCCTCCGGGTGGTTATTGACAAGATACAACTCTATATCACAAAAGCATCGTTCTCAAAAATCGCCACGAAGTGGGACATATGATTATTAGTCTATTTGCCGAATTGTTCTTCTATGCATTGAATGGGGTAGCTTTCTTCTCATTGATGTGGGTAATGATGATGTTCATAATTGGATTGCCGCTCTGGAGGATTATTTATGGTTCTATCATGTTTCTTGGGGTAGCTAGCTACACGTGTTTCGCTTGCACATTCCCATTTGGAAGCGAGATGAACTAATGAATTCTTTACTAAGTTTTTCATACCCTATAGCAACATGGTTGATAACACTGACTCCATATGTAACATTCGTACGAAACGAGTGTCGTCAACGACAAGTGGACTTTCATGCGAGGTATTCAGTTTACCTGGAGACCTGATGTGGTGAAGTTTTCTGTTTTTGGGATATCATAGATAATCATCGTTGGTATGGAAAGACATACGAGAAGATTCATTTCCGTGTAACTTTGAACAAGTTCAAGTGAAAAGAGAAACAGAAACCCCTCTGATAAGTACTACAAGTTCAGATTCAAGCGGAAGGTTTAAGGAAGGCAAAAACTCGTGCGAGGAAGATGATAACTTGACCGTTGCAGACTAATTCTAGCAAGAATCAAGCCAGACACGTATCAAGTAAGACAAGGAATAAATCGAAGTTAATTAGATTCCACAACGTTACAACTCTGATACTTTCCTTTTATTTTTTATCCAATATATTATGTATGAATCATTGAGAGAATAATAAGAAAATTAAGTAACAAACCAAGGTTATATCATCTTTGTTCTTCTTCATTCATATTTTTCAGCAAATATTTAATCAATCTCTTTATGAGTTTCTTCATCCAGTCCGACATTAGATATACACACCCTCATGCAAAAACATTAGCGTGCTCATATATAACGCAGAATCGTTCCGTGGAAATGGACCAAAGAGATGCATTCTATTCTCAATTTCAGGGGAAAATCCCAATAACCGATGACGAGAAGGAGAAACACAGATATTGGATAGCTTTTAATAATTGATGTTGTTGAAAACATGAAACATCAAAACAGAAGTATCATCAAAACAGAAGATGTTGGCTAAAGAACCTTTCAACTGTTTTCACTTGGCGGCTGATTTGTCTCCGACGGTTCGACCATTTCATCTGTGGCTTCCGCATCGATAGTCATCGCATCATCAATGTCTGCTTCCTCCACCTCCGTCATTATCTCGTCCTTCTCGCCTCCCATGGATTCAACCCCATTCGGAGCCCAATTAGCACCCGACTTGGTTTCTTGTCTTGCCTCTTCAGTGTTCTGACCCGTGGTCGTGTCCACACTGACAGCTAACATAGAAGTTACCAACAGATTCTGCAGACAAAAGAGATAAACATGTGAAACAATATCAATCAGAACATGTGAAACATAAAAAAAAACTCCATGATTGTCTTTCATAGATGACAATGATACCAACTAAAAAGAAGTCAACAGATGAGTTTGCATGGACTTAGCTGTACCTTTTCTAGTGCTAAAGCCAGCTTTGAGAGCTTTGGATAGATGCATCGTGCAGCTAAAAGAATCTGCCGATGAGTATTATTGAAGATCAAAAGGACAAAGGTCAGTAAACCTATAAACCTGACTAAGCAAACAAAAAGATATGGTGAATGATACTGAGAGCCAACAAACATATGATCTTCATCAAATACTAAAATTTATCCACTCACCTCACAAAGCCTCTGCAACGTAAATGGAGGGCCTTCATCAAAACAAAGAAGCGCTGCAACATAGCCAAAAGGACAAGGAAACAATTAGGCACCCTTCCGCCTGAGATACAGAAAGGTCAGGAGAAAAGAACATTACATTGTTTTATAAATTTCATATAGCGAAAAAAATCCAGCAGGAGAAGGAGATATAGACAACATGAAACCAAAACAGAAATACATTGTTTCCTAAATTTCATCCTATGCTTATTCCAGAAGTTCAGAACAGAGACTCACGGTTAGGGAATTTCTCACTTCAATACAGAGAGGCATATTTCTAAGAAACGGGAGTCAGTTGAGGTCCAGAACCACAACTATCAACTTCCATGATTCAAGTGGTTAAAGAGCTTGTGATCCTGATACAGTCCCAATGACATGACCATAAACCTAACTTTTGGAATCAAGTTGCAACAACAGTAAAAGATTAGAAACGGACCTTCATCCAATCGACTAACCAGCTCCGAGTATGTTTCTCCTAGGCAAGCATTTTGCTGCTCGGTGGTCATTTTTGCCTCAGGATACTCGGAAAGAACCTTTACAGTAAATCAAATAGATGATGAGATATTGAAATAATCTGGATAACTATGCAACACATGCATGGATATGATTAGAGAAGAGACATGCCTATGCAGCCATAACAACAAAAAAACAGATACAAGCCCTCTGGCGTACCTGTACATACCTGCTTCAACCAAAAGGAAAGCATTCCCTTTAATTTGTCCCAGTCCTGACTGCATTATAACAAACGGAAGTATACAGTATTATACATAACTGTGCAGAGAAAAGCCCCTACTTCAAAATAGCTTTATAGAACAATACAAATAACAGCAAAGGGACACAGAAAGGATGCCAAAGTTTAGTGAATGCTGCTAGTGCATTCCATTGCTATAATCTGAAGAAAGGAGTAGTACCAGAACTTCCCGGTGGATGCTATTGCTTCCAGTGTTCCCTTAATTTCTTCCTCGGACATCTCGGGTTTCGGCTCAGCACCACTGCAAAAAGCAAGGCTGTGCTGCTTCAGCAGAAATTTAGCGAATATGACATGAGAATCCAACTAAAAAGACACTTGATGCATGAAGAACAGCAAAAAATAAAGGACAGACACTAAGGATAGAATTCATGAAAGTCCATCGCAAAGGAGAAAGCCAGTATACTTCTCACACAAAGCCACTAGAAACACATCCATCACGAGGCTAAAACTCCACCTGATCTAATTCTCACCACAACTAATCAAGTGCCTGTCTACAAGATAAAGACTGAGCTTTCCAACATTTCCAAGAACCATTTTAACTCTCCAAACAAACAAGGTCATGATCAATCAATTCAAAATCTCGATTTGTGCCAGCCCATTCGAAAAGACCAAGATCTGAAACCCACATCACGAATCTGCATATGAATCATCGATCCGAAACTCAACGATTTAAGAGAGCAATCGTTTTCCCATCCAAAAACCAAACATTTCAAAACTAACAACGGAAAAATGAAATATCTCAAGCACGGAATTTCAACCCCCCCCCCCCCC